AAGACAAGACAGTTTTAGCAAGGACATAGTTATGATGTAAACAGAGGAGGCTGGCTCGTATTGCATGAGTTGGTCCAGGTCATCTCAAAACAATCATTGCAGATCCATCCGTAGAAGCTGGCCTCACACAGCACTATCATATTCATTAGTGATACTTCATGATAAAACTAACTGATGACTTATGCCATAGCAATACCTTTCTCCTTTGGCATGAGGCTTGATAACTTGAATGAAGAGAGCGCTGATTTCCTCTTCAGAGATCCTTCAGCCCCTGTTAACAGCTCTTTTTCTACTGCCTCACTTCCCAGCTCACCAAACTCTGTTTCAAGAAAGGATGAGAGGTTATTCAAGGCCATCCTCCTCCCCATGGCATCCGTTTACAGCAGGCAGTTCTGCTGTTCACACAGAAATAGCTCAGCAGTCACAGGTTTCCTTATTAACGAGCCTTCGGTCAACAGGGAAGGCTGTGACAGCTATTACAAACAGAACGATGTCCTGGAAGAACAGGGCATATCTAGGGATGGCAGAGAAAAAAGGACAGATTCTGTTGTCCAGTGTCATCAACTTAGGTAGCCAGGGCGACTTCACCAACTTCTCCCAGTCACTTTAGCTTTAAAAATTTACCATGGTCAGATGATAACCGCAGAAGAAACTGCAGCAAGGAAAACATCATCCAGCCCTGATCTGCTTTTGTGCAAACTCAGGCAGGGGAATTTAAGCCACTTCCATCAGCAGATTAACCCAGCTGACTGCACTGAAATGAACCAGGAACAGAGAGCTCGCGGTGGGGCTGAAGACCACTAATTTCATAGCCTGCCACTGCCAGTTTTGCAATGACAGTCTAACCACAGCCTCAGATACGCTGGGGAAAAAGGAAAAGGCAGATTGAGCAGAGCCCAGTTATAGCAGCAAATCTATGAAGGCACAGAGTGAAATATTTACCTTCCTCTGCCTCTGGCTCAGGAGATGTCTTTCCTTTTAGGATTCTTGAAATGTGGGCGACAGAAGCTTTTACTTTCTTCTTCAGACTCTGCTCCACTGACTGCTCCACTGACTGCGACCTTGCATACGGCTTAAAGAGTCCTGGCTTCTTGTAGAAAGAGCTTTTCTGCTTGCCACTTGAGTCCTTTTGGGGGCCATACATTTCTTTATGACTCTCTGCCCCTTTCCCCATGGCTAATAAGTTAGCTGCCTTTGAATCCTCAGATATTTCCAAATGGTTCTTCCTGTTCTTGTTCTCTGCCTCTTCTCTGATGCACAGTCTTTTATCCTTATGCAAATGTCCTGCAGGAGGTGACCTTGCCCTTTCACCAAAGGGTATAAACCGTCTACCAGTTGGTTTGGGTGGAGGCTTCCTATAGTTCATAAATTCAAATGGAAAATAAACAATGTCATACAAGTCAGAGAAATTCAAATAGGCAGGCTCTACCTCTGATATGTCAAGTTTTGGAGTTCCGCTGCCAAGACTGGGTGTTTCATCCGACAGGTCTTTGATTTTCACTAAAGAAACTTCTGGGTGTTTACCAGTGTCCTTGCTCACTGACACTTGACTGGGTCTTTTTCCAGTGTCCAAGCTCTCTGTTGAGGAAACACTCACTTGGCTAGAAGTGGCGCTCTCAAACGCCAAGTCCTCCAGATGCTCACATTCATGAGGAACCGTCTGTGCTCCCTGCCCTTCCAGCACCACTGACTCCTCACTCAAAACAAGATAGGGTTCTGCAGGGTCATCCAGCTCAGAGACTTCTTCTCTTTTACCCCCTCGTACAGAAGAGAAGGAGGTGTCTGTGGGTGCTTGGCTACCTGGGCCTTTGTAGGACATCTCTGTGGGAGGAGAGATGTACTTTCTGCATTCATCCTCACCAGAAACCGACTCTGCCCAAATATTCATCTCTTCAGAGAGGGAAACCATCTCATCCACTAAGCCCTCCAGCACAGCCGACTCCTCATCGCTGTAAAAAGAAGACCTGTGATGTGAGAGCTCCTCACTTTGATCCCTGCGGAGCGATGGCGGGACTGTTTTTCCAGCATCACAGCTTCCACTTTCTAAGGCAATGCCTCTACCCTCACCAAAAACTTTTGGATGTTCCTTATATTCTAGCTCATAGCCTGAAGCTGGAGCAACTTCTGATTGTGAAGCAGTTAAGACACTTGGACGCCCACCATCCATATCAGCAGAAAGTCTGCCACCAGGATAGGCAGCCCTGTGCTGCTCAAACACCTGACGTCCAGCCTTGGGGAAAGGAGCAGGCATAGTCTGTCCAGCTGCTCGGCTTCCACTTGCTGTCACAACAGATCTCACCTCACTGCGAAGTGATGCCTTTGGATGTTCTTGCTTTTCACTCTCACAGAACAGGGGGAGGCCAGTATTTTGGGAGGACCCCATTCTAGCTGGCTGTCTGCTCTCTAGAATTGCAGGCACCGTGCCACTGCCTTCAGAAACCTTTTGGGGTTCAGCTCCCTTGATTTCAGCCTCATGGGCCAAACTGGGAACAACCTCTGCGACAGCTGAGCTTTCAGTCCTCAGAGCAGCAAGCCTCTCCTTGCTATGAGCTGGCCGTTCCCTTTCAGCCTGCCGTGCTCCATCAAAGACCGAAGTTGGCATCGATTTTGGTGGTGGGACTTTTGGAACAACAAGATGCTCTCCCTTCAGGACGGCTGATGCTGTGTCTATGTGAACAGGAGCCTTCTTGTGCGCTTGGCTTTCACCGTCATGGGCTGATGGTGAAGTGATTCCTATAATACCTGGTCCTTCAGCCTCCAGGATGGCAGATGTCACGTCTTTATAGTTCTTCAGCTTCTGATGAGCACTTTCATCAGCTGTGTGCAGAGCAGCTAGGGTACCTGGCTGTTTGCCCACCAAGACAGTAGTTGCTGGAGCACTTTGACCAGGAAGTTCCTGACTTTTGTCTTTACATACTGGAAGCGAATCGGTTTCTGTTTGTGGGCCTGTTAAAACAGCAGAGCTTTCATGCTCCATGAGATCAGATTTGGCAACACTATCAGCAGAAGTCTTCTCATGTGAATGTTTCTGCCTTTTGTCCTTCCAAGGTGGAACTGGGCCTGTCCTTTTGATAAGCAAGCTTCCACCTTTTAGGTCCGGATGGGTGTTGGTACTGTGAGCAGACTCCTGGGGCAGATACACACCTCTCTTACTTGCAGGGGCTGACTTGGAGGTGGTCTCTGACTGTGTGAGAGTTGAAATGGACTGTTTGTCCTCCTGAAAAGCAGATTTACCCTCCATGCTTTCATGTTTTTGAGCTGATGATGCAGTTACATCTGCGCACTGGGCAGTTAGAATGGGGCTTTTGCCTTCCAAATCTTCAGCTTCCTCCTCGATGTAAGTAGCTTTTGACTTCTTCAGTAAATGTTTCCTATTCTCGCTCCTGTGAGGTGACACTGGAAGTCTCTCTAGCTGTGGCAGAAAACCAGCCTGGCACCCATTACCCTCACATTGTGTGGAAGGAGGGGGCTGTTCTTCTGAACAATCCTTGCTGGCTCTCCTAAAGTCCTCTTGCTTTGAAGTGTCTATAGAACATCCTTTGCCAGGCCCCACAGAAATGTCACAGTGGTCACTGCCTTCAGGGCAACTTTCCTGTGACAGTATATCATAGTCTTCTTCCAAAATATCTTGTTCCCGCACTGATCTTGAGGCTCTCAGCCTGTAGTCATCCAGGGAACGGCTTCGGCTAGCACCAGCAATGGCAGGATGCGGTGGTTTCCTTGCAGTGTCAAATGAAGCTGATTTGGTCAAGGAACCAAGCAGACTTTCCCTGTGATCATCTCCATCGTCAGACTTTCCTTCTTCTTCTTCCAGTTCGAACTGCTCTAGAAGGGGTTCACGGAGCCCACTGAGGGGCACCTTCGAATATCCAGCTTTCCGGAAAGTCCTTCTGGCCCTGTCCAGGTGCCTTCTGAACTCCCTGCCTGGTGAGGAAGGTCCCCTTGCAGGTAACTCAGCTGCTTGGCTGTAGAAAGTGCTTTTAATGACACTCTGTCTAGGAACACAGACAGGTGGCTTTTCTGTCCCATCCCCAGCCTTTTCAATTCTGTCCTTATCAGATAAAAATATGTCTGGTTTTTCTTTCTGACATAGATGTGATGTACTTTCTGTGGAAGTCCTCACTGATGAAGGCTCAGCAGCACCACTTCTTTGGGACTGCTCTGCTCTTTCATCTCGAAGCCTGGGATGGAACCCCTCCTCTTTCTCCTTTAAGATACTCGCCATGAGCTCTTTGCTTTCTGTTGGTGATTTGTCCCCCACTTCAGCTTTCATGGAAGCATACTTCCTCCTCATGGGTTTTACTGGAGGGACTGAGATCTTGGAGTGCTTCTCTTCACTTGAATGTTTTGGAGGCTCCTGATGGCTTGGTGCATCAAATATGGACAAGTGCAGTTCGGGTGTAGAGCCAAAGTGCCTCTTCTTGGGGAAATGCGAGTTCTCATTGTCTGAAGAGGAGCCGCTGGTACTGGACGAAGTGCTTTCTTCAATAAGATGTCGGGAGATGGCCAGGGAGGTGTTGTCATGGGTCCTTTCTAGGATTTCTGGGATAGACCGCATTACCAGTATGGATTTATAGCACATCAGAGATCGCTGAAAAGTGAAACAAAATACAGCACAATCAGATGGAAACATGGTGCGAGTATGGTAACACAAGCATACCAAAATGAACTTCTGCACTCTTAAATAGCACACATACTAGTTTAATAACAAAATGCCACCCTTTTGTACATATCCTCAATCCAGGCCTCATTTGCTCTCCAAGTCTTCCTCTTCTCTCATTCACAGAGGGGAAACTATATTGTCTTCAGGGGACATACTTGCTGTTGTGAACAGGGAAGCAGGACCCTGCTTGAGATTTTCAAAGACAGTCTGGCCACTCAAAACAGATGGAAAAGGAGTTTTTAACAGAACACATCAGATTAGAGCCTAGCTGGAATAAATGGCCTCAAATCCGTCGACTGCTGTACAACCTACAGTGACTTAGGCCAACAGAAGACCTACCATACTGTAGGAGGTAGGCTTCATCTGCTCTAACTTCTGCCATGTGAGACATCTCAGTTGAAGTTGAGCAGCTGGCCTCCCCTTACAGCCAACAGAGAGAAACAGGCATCTTCGGAAGGCAAACAACCTGATTATTTTAGAGAACTTCAGGAAAAGAGGAATCTTCTTGGGACCTGTCTATAATTCAGTACCAAGAGCAAAGGCAGCTGAGGGTACCTAACTGAGACACAACCATGTGTCTTACAGGCACCTGCATTAGCCAAATGATTCCCAGGCAGTAAAAGCCTAGATAATTTATTTCTGCCACATCCATCGACCACTGTCTTCTGCTTATTCCCCATTCATAGCCAAGCTGAGATCTCTGCTGTGCTCGCTATCCTAGCCTGATAAACTTCAAAAGATGCAAATGTAATTAAAAAGAAATATAAGTAAAAAGAACCAACATAGATTAAGGCCAACTCACCTGCCATTTGCTCCGAGCCACGATGAATTTGAGCTGCTTGGTGTTAATGAAATGAGCTGCTTCGAGGGGGAGATTATGCTGCCAAGTGGAATGAGAGGAAAATCATTGGTTAAAAAATCCTTACTTCAGTTCCTGAGAAGTTTTGGGTTAGGATTTCCCCCTTCCAGAATTGTTTTATTTAGGAATGTTACAATAGACCAAATGCTACAATCCCCTCATGGCTAAATTGTGGACAATCTCAGCTTTTCAATAATAAAAGCAAGCCCTGTTCAATGCATTTCATTAAATTCCTTTTTTTTTTTTTTTTTTTTTTTTGTTAGTTTTTAGCTCTTCTCCTCAGCGATTTAAGGCATTGGAATGTAAACCATAACTTTGCTCTGCAAAGCCAGTTTCCTTCTATACAGACATGCTATAGCTGCTCACATCAGCAGTAATCTTTATCTTTTGAAAGGAAAGATATCTTGACATGTAAATACCAATGTGTCTCCTCTTTCTGGAGAGCTATGCCTGAGCTACTCCCTAGGACAGAAAGTAGGAAACCAAGAGAAAAAATAAACCAGCAAATAATATAAAGCAGCTTTAAGAGCTGCTCCTCCAAAGGGCTCTTCCAACCTCAGTATTTTTAATGACTCTACTAAAGAACCAGGACAAACTTACCATGAACCACTTGTGGGCAAGACAGTCCAAAGCACTTGGCCTGGCTCTGATGAGAGAAAAGATCACCATTTTAGTAGCAAGTCACTTCCAACAGCAACCACAAGATCTTCCTGAAGGTGCCTGCTTCACGTGGACACACACATACAATTTTGTGTATGTCCTTAGGCTGCTGGTTTAGAGCTGAGAAGCCAAACAGACAGAGGCTTTCAACCCAAGGTTTCCTTCCCGTGAGGTGAAACGATCCTCCTTTTTCAGTCTGAGACTCCCTGCAGATCCTCAGGAAGACCCCAGGGCACTCCGCAGGGAGCCTGGTCAAGAGCTTCGAGAGCAGCCCTGAGAGTGACTTTGACTCTTTAGGTGCCCAGAGCAAAAATAGCTTTGACAGCAGGCAGAAAGAATAGAAATGAAATTAAAAAGCAAGTGCCTGCAAACAAGCCTTCGAGCCACCTTTTGTACTTGAAATTGCTTAATGAATGCGGTTAATATTATTTAATTCTCACATAACTCCCTCTATACCTGTCCTTGCTCTCCCCACTTCTCTATGTCATTTCAGAAACTCATCTGCCTGGAGGAGTCAGGGAGTGGGGACATCACCATACCAGAAACAGGCCAATTTGGCAAATAGCCAAGTTGCGTTTTGGGTAATGGGGAATAATAAGGAAGAATTAGGGCATAATGCACCACGTCTCACTCAGCTTTCTACTTTTCAAAACAACCACAGCTCTGATGATACCAACGTCTTTGCACACTGGCTGTAGGAAGCACAAAAGTGCACTCACTTGGGGTTCTGCTGCAGGATCCCTTTCATAAAGTCCTTTGCATCTTCACTCAAGTGAACAAAATCAGGAATGGTCCATGAAATTTCCCCGTTCTGGATATTTAGAAGGGTTCCTCTGTCGTTCTCCCCAGCAAATGGAGACTTGCATGTTAAGCTTATTTATTGAACACCATAAAATAAAAGGAGACAGACTTTAGACTTTTATTTGCTGTTCAAATGACAGAAGCACAAATGCTTACACGGGGCTTTAAAATGCTTGAGAGATTCCGTGCATGGGACTTGCAATGCTTGTGAGCAGTGCGTCCACTAACAGAGCATCTTTCCCCCCAGCATTACATGGCACTTACCTGAATTATTTATCCCTGTGTCACAGATAAGGAATTAAGGGTTTGATTTTGCACAGCTACAGTAGGCTGTTGGCTAAACCAGGCAAGGGGAAGGCTGAACCTCATCCACCGCTCTCATCGCTAACTGCAAGGAGAGCAGCTCTCAGGGACAATGACTAAAGGCCTGGGCAACCAGGAACCAGTGAGTAAAGGAGAAAACCACAAAAGAAATTGCCCTCATTATAGAAGGACTCAATGCTCCACTCGAATCCCTCACTTGAAGGTACTTGAGGGCTCTGACTGACAAAGGGATATTGAATGAGTCTCTCCAAGAAGATTTATTTACCTTAAATACGTGATGACTCCAACAGCCCTGAGGAGAGAGGGAACACAAATGTCAGGTGTTTGTCACTATTTCTCCATCCTTCTCAAGCACACAGCCCCTCCTCCTGCCGCTAGACACCCTGGCACAGTAAGACCACCTTCTTCTCCTCACCTTTCCAAGGAAAATAAATCCCAAAAGCTATTGTTTTCACCCTTCAATTTTTTTCCCTTCAACATTTTTAAAAGTTGTTTGCAAGTAATCCTCCATTTTTAAAGCACAGAGAGAGGAGAAGACTCAGAATACTTTTTTTGAGTTTGTTTGCCTTTTCTAGAAAACTCCTTGGGATCATCCTCCCTAATTTCTGCCTCTAATAAAGATCATCTCCTCTAAGATGCTCCTTTGCATTAATTAGCTGTCAGAGTTCAATTATGGTTGAACAAAAGAGACAGAAAGAGCTTTAAAGAGCCCTGATGGGTTTTGGATTCTCAGTGTTCACTTTCAGTTTGCTGTGTTGTTATCACTGCTCCATTTACTTATCAACAATAAATGGAAATTCAGGCCACCTAGGGCAAAAGCTTTTTAGAAAGATGATAGGTTACCAGATATCAGTTGCTTTTGACACTGGTGACTGAGAAACAATTTCTGGGGCAACAAACTCCGGAGACCCGTATTTGCTGAACTGAGGCTCAAAGGGTGTGATCTTCTGAGCAAATCCGAAGTCACAGAGCTTAAGGTCTTCCCTTTCAGGATAAACCATGAGGATATTCAGCGGCTAGCAAATGAAATAAAATAAAAGGGAGAAACTTTTCTTCAAAGCAGGCAATATTTTCAGTTGTAAGTAAGAATAATTTGAATAGAGAGTGCCCATTCCCTGACCAACAAGAGGCTATGATAAGCTAGACCTGCCATTGCACATTACCTTAATGTCCAAATGAAGGACGTTGTTGTCATGAAGATACTTGATTCCTTCCAAAATTTGCTTGATATACAATTTGACCTAAAAATTACATCAATTATTAAACAATTATTAAACATTAATAGTAAATAAGAGGGTCCTCGATTCCCCCAACATTGTTAATATATCAGGGAGGGAGAGATTGAACTAGAAATACTTTTAAAACTAGAATGAACTTCTTACATTAGTCTTGCAGTGGAAATAATAATAACATTACCCTGTTGAAGGAAACTGTGCCTCATGTGTGACCACATTGCCCTCCTGGAGCCTTCTATATGTCAAAAAGCCCTTACTTTAGAAAAAAAAAACAACCCTACAAACATGCAAAAAAGAGATCCAGATATCCTCAAGTTTGATGAACCTTATCAACTGTCTAACTTATCTAACTCAAACTCAGCTCTGGCTTGGTGTAAATCAGGCAAACACATTTAAAACACAAATACATTTTAAAACTCTGTTGTAAACCTATTTACTTGACTATATGTAGATCCAATCTGACTATGACTGAACAAGGAGTGAAGATGTACAGCTAGCTTCAGCTTTGGAAGTCCTCTACCTTTGACATTTCATAGTGTTAGCTGACATTTGATTTTTAAACATCCCTTCCAACCCAAACCATTCTATGATTCTATGATATTTCCCTGAGTATTTCTAAGAAAAATCAATTTTACCAATAAATATGGGACACCTGGCTACTAGATGGGAGGTGTGAAACATTTTGAACTTTGAGCACCAAGGATCTCAAAAAGCCCCTTAGAAACTGTAATTTCAGCCCTTGGTTTGGAGACTGAAAGGGAGTGGATAGAAGTACAGTTGCGAGTGGATAAAGCATTATTAAGCAAGTGAAGATATAGGAGCTCCGGGTGACAGATGGCAAAGCAGCAATGATAATAGAGCAAATATCATCTGTATTAGGCTGAATGCAATGCTGGTGCTCAAAAATACTGGCTGTTTCTAGTTATTCCCCAAAGAAACTCAACTTAGTAATGAAAGCTGATGGGAACACATTTTAAAGGCTGATTCTGTTTTGACAAATTATCACTGGTTCAAAGACATTCCTCATATTCAAAAAGAAAAATGCAGCTGGAAGGTACTCTGGTGGTACCCACCACATCTGGGCTTTCAAATGAGAAAGAAAGATTACCTCTGCTTCAGTGACAACACTCTTCTTGAATAAACGGTCAAGGAGCTCTTCGCTGGAGCATCTGACAACGTCATTAAGGGAAAACAGAACTACAGTTGAATGCTTGTTTTTACTCTGTAACCACCTCTATCCAGCTAACAGCAGAATTCATGAGGTGATCTCAGGCAACGTAATGTGCATGTAATTCATTAAAGTCTCTATTGCAGCAGCGTCCTTCTTGCAGAACGGGGCTGCTCTAAACCTGTGCTCCCTGCAAGCAGAAGCATGGCATTGCTTGTGCTAAAATCTGCCTCTTGGCTATGGGCTTTTCTGCTCTGCGCTGCATTTTCCTGGTGCTCACCCAGACTGGATCTCATGGAAACAGAGTCCTTCTCTTCCAGACTTTTCAGAAAAGAGTTTTGGTGCCTAACAACTCATTCACATTTGTATATGCAAGTATCATGATTTTTCCTAAAACAGCAGAAACATAGTACTTCAGTGAAGATCTCACAGAGCTATGCTATCCTGCAGTGCAGAGAAAGGTTATGCACGTCCTTTTACCTCAGGCAAAACCTAAAAATGGTTAATCGCTTAGTTATTTAATAAATGACCTCTCCCTAGTACTTCCCAGCCTCCTCAGACAAGCAGCACAGAAAAGGATACAACTCCAGAATCAAAATCAGCGTTTTCCGTGTTTCAAACTGATCCAGGAGCCTGGTAATTCTGTCGTGGGACAGAGAGGCAAGAATATCCCTTTCTTGATGTGCTCGAGCCTTCGTTTTGCTTCGTAGAGGTATGAATTTGGCAGCACAAGACACTCTGTTCCCTTTGTGTACAACTCGTTTCACAAAGCTGAAGCAGCCCCTGTGTAAAAATCAAAGGACAAGCCCTGCTCAGACTTGGTTGAAAGCCCTCTACAGAGCAGGTGTAGACCTTTCCATGTCCCAGCCTTTGACAACTCCCTACTGCTCAGGGCTTAAATTCTCCAACATAAAAAGCTCATTTTCCTGTATGTGAGGTGCTATTGCCCTCTCCTGGCTGGCTTCAAAGCTAAGCAACGAGTTCACATCAAGGGAAAAGCTGTTTCAGGTAATACAGCTTTGTGCTGACAAAGGCTGATGCTCTTGGATCCCTTGGACGGACATGGTGCTTGTGCATGTGTCGCTATGGGCTTGTGATGCTAACATTGCCAAGAAGCCATACCTGGGCACCTATCCTGCCAGCCTCTGGCTCTTATTTTTTCTGGTTGGAGCTACCTGGACCTATGGGCTGTGTGGACTCTCCCATCTTCTGTCAGAAACCTCAGGAAAGTGTTTCCAGCACACCTGCAATGGGGTGACCTCCCACTTCTGCCAGTACTTTGACCTTTTCAGACTTGTCCACAGCTGGGCCCACCTCTGCCTCTGGTTACACATGCTCAGCAGCTCAGGTGGACGATTAGACAGTCTCCAGCAGTGATGCTATAAAGTTGGAAAATTCATTTACCTTCCAATCTCCTGCTTAACCTCATAAAGGGAATGGAGCTTTCTCCTGGTGGCCACTTTCTTTGCTGCTTGGTCTTTCTTAGCTTTGGAAATGAAGGAAAATATAAGTGTTAATATTCAGACAGCAGTGCCTTGCTAATAGCGTGCAAAGTTATTACAGGACAATTTAAGGCAGGAAAAATTACAGGGGTCCTCTAAACGTCTGCACAGAATTAAGTGGAGCTGTTCAATGACAGAACCTGTCAGTATGAACTTTGGGCCTGCATCTTCACCTGACATAAATCAGAAGAGCCAGGCTAAAGAGCAGAACGCCACCAAAGACATGGCCTCACTTATTTCTGCGGCCCATTGTATCAGTTCATCATGTAGTCTGAAGCAGAGAAAAAAAAAATCTCATTTGTATATATATGTGTAGGTCATTAGATCATTCGTTTTTATACTGGATCCTGCCGTACTGGTAATATACAGATGCTATGCAGGAATACAGAGCAGGTGCCGTATGGGTACCAGAAGATGACTGCAGCAGAGTACGTATTGCACTGGCTATGGAAGCAAGTCCTGCAGCTGAAAGAATGCCATTACCTTCATGTACGATAAGCTCTGCTTTGCACAAAACCTCCCCTCCTGCATTTTTGGCAACGCAGGTATAAACACCACCATCTTCCGAGACAGCATTGTCCACGACTAAGAAATACGTTGTTCCTTCCTTCCCTTGATGGATCCTGTTGCTATCTGTCAGCAACGAAGTGCCCTGAAAGAATGAAATGACATTTTGGCACTGGAAAAAACAAGATGGAAACAGATGTTTCTTCTCTTCAAGAAACAAGATACAGGAGCAGAGCTACAATACAGACTGTTTAGGCTAGCAAATCTCACTAACAAAATGCTGGCTGAAGAAGTCCCCCATGTCTAACTGTTTCTCTGCTTCCACATTACCCAATAACATTTTTGTTTCATAACCCATTCATAGGAATATAGGCTTGGGAGGGATCACCAGAGCTTTGTGGTTTATTCTTCAGCTCTCCCAGCACACCATGCCTAAGCAGTCAGCCCAGGGAGCACGAGGATCAGCCACTTTGCTCCTGCCTGGTCTCCAGCTTGTGCTGGCACTTCTGCTGCCTAATACATTCATAAATGCTATGAAAAGGAGAGGAGGGAGTGTGTGTGACACAGAGAGCAGATTATGAAGATTTGCAAAAGCACCTTATGAAACCACTTGTCTGGGCAGTAAAGTGCCAGATAAATGTATATAATACAATAAATGTAAAGTGATGCAACCCTATTCCCCCACATGAAATGTCAGTCTCTGAGCTGTTCCTTATTACACTGGAGCAAAACTTTGAGTTACAGTAGATCACTCCATGGCAGCACCAGCTCAGTGCTTGGCGACAGTCCAAAAGTACCAGATGTTAGAAATTATTAGGGAAGAAATTAAGAATAAGACAGAAAGCATCATCTTATAAATCCTCGGTTTGCCCAGGGTGTGGTACTGTTGCAGCAATGTTCTTTCTCTAACAGCTTCCAGATGAGGATTGACAGAGCAAGCTGGGGCTCTTCAGCCTGGAAGAGAGGCTCTAGCAATACGACATGATAGAGCTGTACAGAATTATGAATAGCCTGGCGAGTGGGCAGGGATTAACTTTTCCTGGTACAAGATGCAAGAGCCAACACATGAAGCTTGTGGTAAATACGTACAGAAAGCCAAAAAGAGGTGGCACTTCAGGATAGTGTCATTGGGTTGAACTCCTTGACAAAGGACACTGTACATGCAAGACGCTTGCATGGGCGCAAGAGGAGACTGGACAAGCACGTGGAGAGCTTTACTGTGGGTTAGTAACTAGATAAAAGTTCAGCTAGCTTGCGGTAACTCTGAGCTGAAAACGTCAGAGATTGCAAGAATATGAGCAGGGTGTATCATGTATTCTTGCCTTGTTCTTATTCTTTTCAAGATGTTTAGGTGTGTGCATGTGCATGTGTGCATAGGAGGGGGTTCTTTGCATTTCTGCTTGTTTTTTAAGGTTATTTTATTTACCTGAGTAGCTCATCCTTGCACTGCCCATACAGAAAAAAAAATGGAATAAAACTTGTGTGTACAGAACACTTAGTTGGACAGAAGAGTTACAGAAAATCATTATGGAACAACACTGGCTTATTTCAGGGGCGCGACAATATTCTGAGGAATAATAAATTATGTCTCCTTCCTTTCTATGGGCTATTCATTGTCCTTAGTCACACTCATTTTACCAATTAGCTGCAGAAAAGATACGGAGCCTGGAAATCACATTGACAATTGGAATAAAACGCTCAATCCCATCCCTGACCCCAAAACTACAGCACACATCGTGGTGGCTCTCAGGCAGGAACCAATCGCCCTCCCTGCTCATCTTCACCCCCAAAACCATTCTGGTTGCCCTCTCTGCGAAAGGAGCCACAGTGACACTGGAGACAACACAGGGTGAGATGCATGGTTGGTGGTTCCAGCGAGAACCGCAGCTGGTTCAACAAAGTCTATGGATATGACCCAGAATCAGTGTAAGAGGTGTGGGATGAAAGAGCAAAAGAAACTCCCCGCAGAAGTACTGCACTACGGTCCTTTCTGTGGTCCTCACTCTCAGCCAGAGAAAAGTCTGCACTTACCTTAAACCACAAAACAGTAGGCTCAGGGGTTCCTTCAATGACTGCTTGAAATTTGGCACGCTCCCCAGAATTCACCTGCACATCCTCTATTGTCACTTGCATATAGGGAGGACCTGCTGAAACGCAAGGGTTTGCTGCATGCACAACACCATGACTTTATTCATAGCGTGCTGATGTAGGTTGAGTTACTCAAACGGGATTCATAGGACTGGCCATTTAGGATATAACATTCGCTTAATGTTAAAACAGGAGATATCACAGCGATAGATTTGGATTTCTTTATACTGGTATTACTTTTAGGCTTCTTATCTTCATGCTTATCTGTTACTTTTTGTTTAATAAACAGTTACTGCTGAAGAAATGGAAGTATTTAAAAAAACAATCATCAGAAATTATTACCAAAAGAGAAGACAATGACAATCATGGGATGTGGGAAAGGGAAACAAGGTTCTTACTTACTTGTTGGGGTCTTCTCCTCAGTCTTATACACACAAGTTCTTTCCGTGGTCTCAATATAAACCTCACTGTGTACATCCCAGACCACATCTCCTTCTCTTCCGTACCAGCCTCCTGCCCCGGCGGCTGGTGATGTTCTTTCATGAAGCCCAAGAGAAAAGATCATTACGTAGTCACATACAACTACAGAGATACAGGATTACACCCTGCCATTGATCTGTGTGTTTAACCACCAGACACATAATTATTTACTTAAAATTAATACAAGAAGAATTTTGTTTTGGGGGAATTAATTTCTCTCCAACCTTTTCTATCCTTCTTGTACAATGCATGTATGAATAGGATTCTAAAAATCATAACAAACCTACAAGAATCAGTTCAAGTCACCACCTGCTTCCTCCACCACAGAGGACTTGCTTTTTTTGTAACGAAGTCTGCCACATTTGGGAGTCTGTATATTGAGATGGATATTTACCTGGTAATAGGAACAGTGCGCTCCTGAGTGCTTTCATCTCCAGCAGCTGTCTCTTCATGGGAAGGACCAGGACTAGGCTTTGGCACACTTGGTTCTTCAGCTGGAATCTGCCTTTGTGCTTTGTCTGGCAGCAGAAATAAGGCAAGTTAGACACGTCACCTGTGACAGCACACCTGAAACCCAGAGCAAACCTTTGGAGCCATCTCTAGTCTGCCTTGTGTCAGAACCGAGTCCGTCTGACCTCAGATGAGTGCAATCACTGAAGCTAAGGGGAGAATTTGGCCCTTTTGAGAAGACCACGTGAAGCAAAGGGCTTGAATAACATCAGAGAGACTGAAGGGTCGCACATTGCTGACTGGGCAAAACTAACTTTTCTGTAAGGAAATGCACACAGACAAAAATAGGAAAGGCAGTCAGTAGGGACAAGAAGAAATAGGATGACTGGAAGGATAGCATGGGTTCAATACATTCTTTAAAGGAGATAATTTAACTGTGTTTGAGTTCCAGCTCATGGCTATGATGAAATCATAGAATCATAGGATTATTTAGGTTGGAAAAGACCCTTAAGATCATTGAGTCCAGCTGTTAACCTAACACTATGAAGTCCACCACTAAACCATGTCCCTAAATGCCATGTCTGCACCTTTTAAATACCTCCAGGGATGCCCAGCATTAGCGTCATACACATGAATGCTTCAATTAATTAAACTTTGCCTTATGAGAACAGCTCTTGACTCACTAGTGCAATCACAGACAGCATCAGTGAAATGAGTAAGCTTACACCAATGTAAAACTGGTGGTCAAGGAAGGCCCTGGCTAGGGGTAAAACTAATATGGAGATAATATGGAAGTATGCTAATATGGAGGACCTAGCGATGTTGTAACGTCAGCATTGGTGCACCTCAACTGAGTTCTTTGAAAAAGTCCTTGTCCAACTCTAAGTTACACCAGAACAAGGTTTGGCATCTGGGCTTATAGGAACAAGGAAACAAAAAGATGGTGCAGCTTGATAGCTGTTCAGGTATTGTCCTTTTATTATTCATTATTTTATCAGGTGTATCTTCAAAAAATGGTTTGATCTTCCATTCCAGAAGTACCCGATTGCCTTTTGATGTTGACCATTAGAGTTACCCCATAAGATAAAGCGCATCATCTCCTTTTTCATCTGAGGAGAAAAGGTTAAATCAAGAGGAATCTTCTCCCCAGCAGGAAAGGCCTTTTTGGGGAGCACTCAAGGGCTGTTTGGTGCTGGCTGGTTTTGGAAGAAAGCAGCAGTTTCTAGAAATTACGTAGAACAGCTCTATTGGGGTGGAAAACATGGTTATTTGAGGCATTACTGGCAGTCACAGACACCAGGTTGGTGGGGTTGTGCTTTCTTATTGCCAGCACTATTGAAATATTTGCTTCTTTTTATTCAAAGCATGTGATTGTAGAGGCAGTTGTCAAGTCTCCATCTTATTAAAATAATTCCTCATATTAATAACACTCTTAGTTTTGTCAGACGGAAGGACTGCAAAACCATCTTATTCACTAATTTACTCTGTAGTTATGACTAAGGCAATAATCTGCTAGTCGACATTTTACTTATGATTTTTGAGTCATCCTGCTTCACCAGAGGATTATTGTCACAAGTGATTTCCTACTATAAAGGAAACAAGGGTTTAAAGCCCCGACATTTTTTATGCAGTTATTTTGGGTCTGATTCCATGAAAAGCTTCTATCCTTGTTACGTTTTAGACCAGAATATCTTTTCTTTTAAACAGCATCTGCAGTTTGAGGGCTGAAGGCTACTTGACATAGTCCTTTTAAGTTGACACTGGTGGAAGACAGTTACTCTGACTTGACAGTGACAGCTTAGACAAGTTGTTACGGCAGAAGGAAGAGAGGAGGGGTTGCCACTTATTCATGTTTTTTTTTAAAAAAAAAAAACAATGCAAAGACAAAAGACTTGTTCTCCCGGCAAGACACAGTCACACGCATCATTGGTTTTAATCACATGGAAACTGTTAAGGAGTCTATCAAGGCTCCAGGGCCAGTGAAATGCAGATAAGCCTGATGTGCCCAAAATCCTAGAAAGTCTCCGGCACTTGATACAGGGGTGTTAAACACATTTCCAGCTTGTTTATGGCAAACAATAAAAGAAAAGCAACCTCCCTTACCCACCCCACCAAAAAAAAAAAAAAAAAAAAAAAAAGACTTCTAGAAGTGTAAAGGAGGGGTCCCACCCCACCTTTTCCCCAAAAAAACTTGAAGCAAGTCCAGGGTCAAAGGACTAAAGGTAAAAAAATCCCCAATCTCTCCATTTTGGGCAGGTAATGAACCAAAGTCTACTTCAGACACAGTTTTCAAACACCTTCTGTTTCCAGAAAGATCTGCTTCAAACTTGTGTCCAACCTAATCCCAACCCACAGTCCCACATTTCTTTGGGTCTGAATGCCCTCTCTTAATCTGCAACTGTTCAAAACACAACGAAACAGAAAAATGAGGGGAAAATTATCATTATTGGCATGTTCAATATTTTTGTCTCTCTTGACTCCCATGGGACATTTTCCAGATTCATGCCAAACCTACCATGACCTCCAGCAGTCTGGGTTTGGGTACTGGCTTCATGAACTAGCATAGAGGACCTGGCTGCTGTTTCTGCATGGTCTGAAGGAACAGACCCAGGAAGGCCAAGGCCACCAGCTCCTTCTCGCATGCCTGGGGGAAGAGTCACCAGCAGTGACGCTGAGTCCACGAGTTTCTTTAGAGCTGTCTTGATCTCCTTATCAGCACGCTGAAGCGAGGCCTGGACAGAAGTCTCCATCTCTGATTGTGGGGAAGTCATTCCTACAGACAAGAAGAACAGCTTTTCTCTCTTCAGGGTAAAAAGAAAACAGCAGCATCATCCAACCCATGGAAATATTTTCAATCATATCATTTTCCCCTCCTAGAGCACAGAGCTGATGCAGAAATGCTTATTCCAGCAAGAGGGGAATATAACTAAGACTTAAAATAAGAAGGTTGGCACAACACACTTCGGAAAGACGTATCTCACCAAGTCGAGGACACTGTGCCACACTGCACACACACCCAGCCTCTCCCCAGACAGCAGAACAAAGGATCCATCTCCCAACTCAACCCTATGTTGGCTGGTCTGTCAAAAATACCTTTATTAAGATCAACAAAATGAACCCAGCGGTGACTCATTGCACTGATACAGACCCTATGTGCAAGGAGGACGTTATTCTCACAGGGAAGGAGAAAGAGTAAGCAGGTACCAGCCTCATCAGTGACTCTGGTGAAGGGCAGGGGAAAGAAGGGAGGGCTGTTCTGCTTCATGAGCCTGTAAGTCTGAGAGGATGACAGAAAAGCTACTCCTTGCTCTAGACTAATGTATTTGTCCTACTTTACAGTATCTGAATATTTTTGCTGGGCTTTGCACTAGAAGTTACCTGAGAGTTTTAAATTTGTACTGCACTATGCCTTTGCAAGGTACTCTAGAAGCAAAGTCACCTGCTCTGTATAGTAATGCACAGCAGTTGTGTATAAGGAAGCATTATACAGAGGAAGATATAACTTCTGCCTCAAGAAACTCACAGTCTGGAAGGCAGAGAGAAGACAAAAGCTTTCCGCACAGAAAAATGGATTTTCAAGCATACGTCTTTGCAGAACGGCCACTCAGGAGACAAATACCGTGGTCTCATCCCCAGCCAGCGCTGGTAGAAGAAACTAGGCTAGGATGGGATCATAGGACCTCAGGAGCTCATCTCATCCAATCTCCTGCCCAATACACCTTCCACACAGCTTGAAGAGGCACAACAAGGGGACAGACGATATATGGGGAAACCCTCAAGTAACCGTAAAGGCAGACAAAATGCATGTCAGATTAAGACAATTCATCGTGTTCATGATGCGATTGCTTGCCAAGCAAGAGTGCAAACTCAAACCATCATGTGGTTCAAGAAAAAAATAAGAGCACTTACACACAAATGGGTCTGACTTGTTTAACATCATTGACACAGGAGCATGTCCTGTAGATGTTTTGATTCTGCTCCTTTCCTGTCCTTAAGAAAGGGAATCCCCACGATAGTCCTTAGCAGGTAAAGTTGAAGGCTACATTTCGATCAGCCCCCTTTGAAGACATCTCACTTGACTTTTGTTTTCAGTGTCCTCCCCATGAGCATAGTGGTTACGAAATAGTTCAGTTCTGAGTTTGTTGGTGGAAAAAGCAAATTTTGCTCACAGGATGTCCCAGACTGCCCATCAGTGTTCATCAGCACTGGGTCAGATGGAAGAGCTTTAAACATTTTCCTAGATAAATATTTTGATCTTCTGGTGTTCCTGTTGTGATTGCTGCCAGCTGGTGCTGTCCTACGAGCTGGGCAGCTGCCAACAAGTGAACTGTTTGGAAAGGCATGAAACGCTCTTAGTATCTCTCAATGAGAAAATATATTCACAGGTATATACACACAGGTTATATATAACCACGTGTCTCCCCCATGCTGCTGATACCAGCACTTTCCTCCCTGTTTAGGGATGTTACACACTGTGATTCAAGCTGCCGACCTGAGGAACTTCAATATTAGCTAGGTACGTCAAACTTACACCGCAGTGATGACACACCTGTGATGGACAGCCTGTTTACCAATTCCGAAATCTCAACCGTGGACCTTTCCACCCCACATCTCCTTCAGTCAATAACCAGGAACACAAGACTGACATGTATTTTCAAGTTCCAATTCAGCCTCAGAGAAGGACCCAAGGGGACGAGCATTGTTCAAAATTATTGACTCATAGATCTGAGTTGGAAGTATCCCTAAAAGCAGGTTCTTTCAGTTCAACATTTCTGAAACTGTCCATAAAAAACAGGAGCCAGAGCCCAACTACATTAATATTCTTGGGCTGCAACCCAGCTCCTGCTGATTTTTTTTTGTGGATCAGCTGATAGACTATTAAGTGCCGTGAACAGAGAAGAACACAGAAACCCAGTGAGTTCAGTGACAGCTGATGCGAGACATTTATTGATATAAACTCAGCATCTAACAGCATATCTTGCATTTGATTTTTTTTGTGTGTTTTTTTTTTTCTTTTTGTACCTCAAGCAAACTGAAGTTTCCACTTTATTAATACCCATTTACCTGCAGGAATTTTAGTAAAACATTCTTTGTATTAAAATTTTTAATACAGCTGTATGTTTTCATCTACAAGAAATAAATCCCCACACGTCTCATTAGTTATCTACATAGTTTAATCACTTACAAGCATAATTTTTAACCTCCAGGAAAATATTTTGAAAGTATATGTAATGAACTTTTCATAAACCTTTCACTTTCTGAACAGAGTCCTGCATAGGATTTTAAAAATTCCTTTCAATTGATTCTCTTTTGCTTAAATTTCAAAAGAAAATGTAAACAGAGGTTAATTGCTTTAAGCTAATGAATTAAAGTATAGTTATTTCTTCTACGACCATCTGAACTGCAACCTTTTAGCTTCTTTAGAAACACCTGGGCATCAACCACAACAGGACGAAACCTCCACATTCTTTTACACATCTTTATTATCTTTTGGATGAATAATATATTTTTGAAGACTATCATGGGCCAAATTCTTTTCTCAGCAGTATCTTTGTAAATCGGAATCAAATCCACTTCCTTCTGTGGAATTATTCTAGATTGATACTGGAATAACTGAGATCAGAATCAGGCCCAATATAAAAGAAATATTTTTAGTTTTGAAGGTATTTCCCTGTTGTATGTCTGTTACTTTCCAACATACAGTGCAATATATGAAAAAAGCACTAATATATATCCATCGTATTGCTTAATTATAAAACAAACAGTATAAACCAAGGAGATGTTATAAAAAGCAGGACAATAACATAAAAGAGGCTTGATTTCTTTCACCACGTGTAATCACTGGAAAAGGGGTATACATATCATGAGGGTAGTGCACATGATATTACACATAACATCCTGTTTGGATATTGAAAGTAAAAGGCTGTGAAATCAATATGTTCATTTTAGTCAGCACATGATCAAGGTGCAGCCACAGAAGGAAAAAAATAATGTATTCTTTTCTACAAGCACCTTTTGTGAATTCAATCCCCGTTAGCGGCAATATTGCCCGGAGGACTCCAGAACAAGCTTCACAATTTTACCTAGCTGGGAACACCGAAGCAACGTCACACATAAACATTTCCAAGGCAAAAACTCACTCAATCCTCTCTCTTTGTGCTAGTTAGAAATTCAACTGTGTCTGAGCATTTCTGGTTTCCCTGCACCATCTAAATGAAAACATTTTCTATCGTGACAGTGCTACACAACTCAGCTGGGACAAGGTGTTGGGACTCTTCACCCCACATCTCTGTCAGACAGAGAGGGCCAGTGCTTGGTCCTACTGAGATCAATGACAAACTCCAGCTGACTTCAACTGGGATCAATATTTGGGCCTATGAGCTCATTTCTTTCCAGGGCTGAGCAAATTGCTGAAGGTCCGTGCAACATCCATTTTTGGTGAAGCCAACAGGAATGGGCCACGCTCAGTGCATCTTAGCCTTCCCCTCGCAACCAGCGCTCCCGCTCAAAGCTCCAGAGAAACTCAGCAGAAGGCAGTACCTCTACAAGACAGCTCAACGTACATGGTTACAGTAATACGATGCAATTGCAACTGGCAGTGCTTCCAAGCAGCCCAATACATTTTGAACAGATGTATTTTTCAACCAGGCATTATGGTAAATATCTCCTTTCTTTATTTTTTTTTTAAAACTGTCTTTATGCTCCCGCTACTTTGCTGTAGCTCAGTGGTGAAATCCTCTTAGCACATACAGGAGACATTGTCCATCAATCTGTTAACAGTAATTTTTCACCACTGGCATGTACAGGAGACCAAACATTCTTCCAGTAATATTTATTGACAAAGACCACATTTGTGGTTCTTTGTATGTATTAGTATTTGATGATAGATGCAGAAGTCATTTTGTGCAGCACTTTAATCTTTCAGTGCACGTTAAGTAAACCTATTATTTAAAAGATATGGTTTATAAATCCACTACACTAGAATGCAGAATAATGAAACCTACATCTTCAGACAACTAGGAAGTGGACTTGAAAATAGCAGTCAGTTAAAAAAGATGGTCTTTTTTTACTTAAAGCAGAAGAGAACAACGAAATCCTTGCTTCCTCAAGTCAGTGGGACTTTCACCATTGACTTCAGTCAAATTAGGATTTCAACCAAAAGGTCTGAGCAGCCCTTTGTATCTCTAGTAAATGCAATATTTTCTATATGTTTCATTCCGTGGCAGAAGCTTAAAATAATGTAACCAGAATGTGTTTGTTGAAAGGTTTATGAAGAAATTTTGATAGAGCTAATTGGTGTCAAAAGCATACAGCAGAGTCAAAGCAGTGTGAAGCTTCCTGACCTTCGGGCACACACAGCGACAGGAGATTGCTTTAGCTGGAACCAGTGCTCCTATCCTGAGCTGCTGAAGGGTGCCGAAAAGCTTAGATACTTTCACCTTCTTGCCACACCATAATTTACAAATTGGCACTTGAAATAATTTTAAAGTTCATGGACAAAAATGCACTTATTCATTTATATTTCTGTCATAGGCAGGAGAATCAGGCTTTTCCTAAACCTACCATCACTGCTCCACTATGGAATGATAAATGTTCACCTCGATCAAAGCTTTTAAAATTACAAACTGTTCCGACAGACATGTTCCCTTTAAGACTGGAAAAGCTCGACATATTGTATTTAAATATATTTTTCTCAAAAGTATTCCCTCATACATGTTACCTTGTAATCTTTGCCACCAATTCCCCTCACCTACAACAATTTTGATTAGTTTTTTCTAAAACACCACTTTCTTTTGTGTTGAAAGTTACGCTTGCATCTCCTCAGCTTTGGGAGAGGTCTTCTGTGCTGATGTGCAAGGTAACAGGCTCGCCAACAGTCCCATAGCTGAGGGTTCTTGTGGAAACTTCAGTTTTAAAGCTTGACTGCCCGTTGTCTGGTGAGAGCTGGACTTCAGTGCAGAAAGATGGTTTCACTGTGAAGGAGGGACCAGGAGAAGCTGCCGCTGTTGCTGCGTGCAGTCCAGGCGTCACTGCCACGCAGGTATCACTCACATGGAAAGAGATGTTTGAGGGGCCTACAGACTGCACACCGGTTACTCTAGCTGCTGACATGAACATGCCCCCAGGAATGGGCTCCTCAAACTGGCTGAAAAAACTTTGCCTGGGCTTGGACACCACAGGTCTCCCCAGATTCAGCAGCACTGGCTTCCCAATCATTGGCTCGTTAATCTCTGTCTGGAGCACAGAGATCTCGCAGGGTTTGTCTGCCGTATGGTTCTGATCGTCACACCCGTAGGTCTCACCTTCTTCAGGAACATAATCTTCAAGATCCTCCAAAGTTAATACTTTGCCATTGTGGGTTAAGATTTTGCGGTCCCGGGTGCTAATGTCATCTGTCTGTAGTTCCTCTGGTTCATCAACTATAACGACATTATCCTCATCTTGTATTACTTCAGGTACCCCCTCTTCAACAGGCCAAGATATGTCTAATTCATCTGCCTCCTCTGTAACCTCTGGACTTGCTGGTGAGAACAGAAGTTTGTGCTGGTCTGCAGCAGCTGTCTCAAAACTGAAGATCAAAGGCTCACCCCCGCAGGCAAGCAGCGGGGAAGGGACGTCTGACCCGTAGTGAGCACTTGTTTCCTGTGGGAAGCTCTTTCCTTCAGTTCCATAATCCATAAATGAATTATTTCCTAGTTGTTCGGACCCACACGGGGAGCTTCCGTCTTCATTGCTGACTTGAGGTTCTTCCTGCTCAGTTGCATACACCAGGGACTGGATATCGGCTTCAGAGAGACTGTCATTAGGCAAAGATTTTGACTGTTCCACCAAGTTATTGTTGGAGTTGTTTGTGTTTGGATCATCTTCTGGGGAACGCTTAGGCCTTGAGCTGGGAAAAGTGAATGTTAACGCCCCTGAGTCATCTTTTTCTTGTTTTGCTGGGGAAGAGCCTCTTTTCCTTGTAGGTTTTGGTGTTTTTTTCACCTTGAATTCAATTATTTCTTCCACTTCAACCCATTTGGGCTTTTTCTCTTCCACCGTGGTCTCTATGACGACATCTCTAGCTGCTGCTCCTTGCCTGTCCTCTGGTTCTGTGACAAAAAGCATGGGAACAGCAGACATCGGTGTTGCCTCCTGCTCATGTCTGTGGACAGGCTGCCTGATCTTTGAAACATAAACTGGCTCTGGAGTTGGCTCCGCTCTTGGGGAGCGGGAAGGCGAATGACCTGAAGAAGAACGTGCGGGAGAAACCCTTCCCCTTTGTCTTGGGCTCTTCACCACAGTGGTTATCGTTTCCTCTCTGATGACAGAAAGGGTTGAAATGGAGTTGGCAGGAAGACGAGACTTTTCAGGGAGCCACACTCCACCAGCACATGCCATTGACGGTCAAGGCGCTACAGTGGGGTTAGTTTTGTGAGTACTCCAGCTTTTGGTGAAGCGTGTCATTTTGGAAGGGATACACACGCAACGCACACACCCACATGCCCATCTCCACTTACTTTCTGATCCAAGGAAAATCTCAGTGCCCTTTCCCCCAGGTCAATCCTAGCTCCATTAACCACCTTGAGTGCATGAACACACGACAAGTGTGTCCAGCTGAGAAATGTTCTTCTGGATGCTGCTATATTTCATGTGCTTGTGTTGACCACCTACTCTGCTACTTTGGACCCATATAGCGGTTTCATCCAAAGATTTTAAACACTCAAGGAGTTTAACCTTTTCCTGAGTATCCTTGGGTAAAATCCTGGCTTCATCAAAATCAATAGCAAAATGCCCTTTATTACAGTAGGGTCAGCAGCTTCCTCTTTTTTAATAAATGTAACGTATCTCCATTTTGCTTATTAAAGACTCTTTTGAGACCAGAGATCTGCATTTTCACATGCAGAACAGTTACATTAAAAGGCCATTGAGCATTTGGAGACCAGGAAAAAAAATCTTTCCTGCACAAGTCATCAATGCCAAAATGTACTTATTTTTACTCTTCATAATATCATTTTTGCAGGCACAGCCTGATCTTATTACCACCAATTGACATAGGGGTACCAAACCAATCTGGGATGCACGATTATAATTTCTCAGCATATTTCTGCTGGCCTTACTTTAGATTTTTTGACATATCCAAAGAAGTTGGGACCTCTCAGCATCCCTGTATAAATACACAGTTTGTGTCAAAACAATCTTCTGCTCCCACGCCAGGACAAACTTTGACTTTAAATGAGTTACAGATGAAATTGGATCAAACAGCTTTAAAATCTGGGGACAGGAACACCTAAACCCAGACTTCAGTGCTCTTAATTTATATATTTAACATGCAGTTTTTCCTGCAGATTTTTCAGTGGCATTCCTTACATGGAAAAACTTGAAGGTAAAGACAACATTTGCTTTGCAAGCACAAGGAAGCTAATGCTCTACAGCGGAGGTCGCTGGTTCAGTGGAACAGGCAAAGCTGATTTTGTTTGTGTTGGGATTCTGTCCCTACCTCCAAGCAACAGGATAAAAAAAGAATTAACTGAATGGTAAAGACAATGGCCTGAACTGGGATTATGAATCAAGACAATAGCTTTTTCATTTCTCTCTTTCTCCTCACCAGCCTCTAGTGACAGCCACGCAGGGCTGAAAGTCACCAGCTCTGCTCTCCAGCTCGCTCTGCTCTGAGATACAAAGAAGGGTGGAAGGAGTCGTTGTGACAGGAGAGCCTGTTTCTTCTATTGCATTTCTCTAACCATCGTGGAAGACTAATCCTCTTAGATATATTGTAGCCTTTCTCATCTATTGCTCTCATTTTTGGAGTCTGGTATTGCCTTCTCCTATGGAGACCAGATTTCTTTCCACCATCAATCTCTCCCTTTGAGGACGCGGTGAAGTCCAGGACTGGATCAGTTACAGTGAGATTTCTTTTCTTCCAGAGCACCCTCTCTTCTACTGCTCATTTCCACTGCTTTCCCCTAGGTTTTCTATAGTTTTGCTATAGAGCGTTAAGGTCTACGCAGAGCCTTCGTAATGGCCACGGTGCCTTTCTGAATTACACAAAACTAAATCACTTTAGATAAAGATGAGAATGAATCCACATGTGCTTGCATTAGACTTTGCTCTACATTTCAAGGTTAAAATGCTTTTTTGGGTCTAGGATTTCCATATGCAGACATTGTTCAATCCCATCTCTAAATTATCTGTTATTTTCTACTAGTAGTTTCAAAGCTGCTTCTGTTCCTCAGCGCGCTACACATTAAGGAGAGCTGGAATGTGCCTTTAGAGACTTGTTCCCAAACTTTACCCCATCACTATCCCAATTCCAGCTGAGGTCCAATCTAATGAGCTCGTGACCACATCCACTAGCAAAAGGAGGGGAATTTCTGTTGTTCTGAGATCCCACTCATAAATGTACCAAACCTCCTTTGGGGCTGCAGCCCTTAATTGAGGAATTGCTTCTTGAGCTGTCCAGAGCAATAGTCTGTGGAATTTACATGTCACAAATTTAGAAATTAGCTTAACTGATGGTATTTTGTATTAGTTTAATATTATTTAATCAACCAATATTAATGCTGCTGCTTGTGGTTTGAAATCATAAAGGGAAATGGAGGACTGTTAGCTGACTGAGGAGAGATGCTTTTATTTTACATCTCTTTTACAGGTGATTTACAGGCACAGAGATGTAGAAAGATGAGATTTCCTAAGCTTTAGACAGGGTCTGGCTCTGAGGGATTCCTTCCTGCTCATGACTTTTTCGGGATGTTTCTGAATATGATATATAAAAAAAAAAAAATTCTCTGTTTAGCTATCGCACTGGTACCTGAACCCTGGTCCTTGAGATGGTATAGGCAGAAACACCTTCGTTTTCTGGTCTTTGCAGGGTAAAAAAGTCTGATGACTGGAGCTGTTAACTGGTGTGCTGAAGAGAGAGGAGCAAAGGCAGAACCCCTTTCTGCCTCTGCTGTCTGCTCTTTGCCTGTTCAAGGTGGAAGCTGCTAGGAAGGGGGACATGTCGTCTTATAAGCCACTGGCTCCAAATGGGCTAAGTGCATGGATCATAACTAACAGTCATCACAGAAAATAATAAAAGAGATAAAAGGTAAAAATTCTTAACCATATTTTAGCTGTCATTTTACCCATCCTCCTCACCATCTAATGAAAGTAAAAAAAGTCAACTTTAGCATCATGTCCAAGTCAAGGACTGATTTTAGCAATATTACAACTCTTAAGGGAATGCATTTCCCCAAAATATCCATTGTATTGTCACCTACTATCATTAGGACATGATTTGAATAGCTTGGAAGTGCTCTGATGGTCTACCGCAGAAGGGCAATGTCTCCCTTCCAGCGCATGAAACAATTTTATTATGTATTTGTTTATGATATAAACAAGAAGATACTTTAAGATTTTTAATGGCTGATGAGCTTCTGGTCTACATATGACTGAGAAAGTACTGCTTTTTCCTGAAGTTAATCTTTATGTGTTATAGACACCCAATATAAACCAGGCTCAAAGTATCCAAAAAGCCCAAGTCATTATCAGGAAAAAATTTCATATTAGAAATATAGAGACAGAAGGGGATAAAAATGTGCATCTTCCTTCTGCTTCATCATAAAAGGTTTTCCTGAAGAATTTAAAACAGAAAGCCAGAAGAAATCACTGTAAGCTCTGAAGTATTTGTTATATTTGTACATTTTGTCGATTAGCCGGTTCTCAAAGCTGGTTTATTTTTAACACTGAGAGTCAGACTCTACCTTCTTGAGGTCTTGTGCAACTCTGGCAGTATTCAGTGGAATTTTTTCACACGCAATATCATAAAAAAACTGACCCAGGCTGTGTCTAATACTATCTCTTTTAAAAAATAGCAGCACTGGTAAGATTTATTTTTTTTTTTCAGGTGGTCACTTTGCATAACACAGAATACCATGAGATGTGGTGGGATGGGAATGAACACTCTTGCATGGCCAATAAACACAAGCTTGTTATTGGATCATGCATAGGCAGCAAGGCAAAACACAAATGTTACCAAAAAAAAAAAAAAAAAAATCAGCACTTACATGATGATGGTTTTCTTGGGCACTTTAGTCTCTTGTTCAGTGACTACAAAGAAAACAGTATGAACAGCATGGGGTTAAAGAAAGGCAAAAGCTGAAATGATTAAATTAACTTTGCTCAGTTAATCAAAATAAACTGGAGTGAAAAAAAACAACTGTACCATCCCATCCATGCTTTCTGTGGTTATTTCCAGCATCTTCTTTAGTGTTTCTGACCAAGAATGAGAATTCAGAGTGCTCTCTGAACACTGAATGATTTAGCTTTGAAATTAAATATTTTGTGGAGAACAATATTGCAAAATCTGTTTATTCTACCATGAGATTCTGACATTTTTGTTTGGCAGGTCAAAGCTAGAAAACAAGGTCCTATTTTTTTTTCCAATTTTTTTTTTTTTTCCTATGATAAGGTAGTGATGGTGTGAGAAACCTGAAAATGCCTTGATCTGGAAAATCCTGGAGAGCTGACATTCTTTAAATTGTGATTTCACTTACTAGAAAAACAGTTTCCTCAAACACTGAACATTTTCCAAGCTTTTGTGGACTGGGTGCAAAATCCAAGCTGATAACAATGAAAACTAAAATAATTATCATCAGTACAGAAAATCAGCATCAAAAAAACCCCCTAGGAAACCCAGGAGAGCCCTGTAATACAGCTATGTCTACTCCATCTCTTTTTCGCTATAATTTGCAATTTTTCCTGACCCTGGTCCCATAACAAACTAGAAGCTGTTGATGCATCTGAGGATCAAAAGAAATGATTTAATGATTTTGCAAATATTTCTTAAAAATGACATTTTTTTAAAAATAAGAAAGATACCATTTGAAGAGCTCATAGAGATTTTTGGCAGGTTCCCATCCTATCTGCTGGAGTAAAATTAAGACACCATTTGAACCCGGCTGCTTTGAACACACTCTGAACTGCTCAACCTACTTGAGATATAAAAAAAGACAATGGCAAGCCCCACTTTTTATTTAATAAACTAGTAAAATTTCTAAAAAAAACCCCTTAATTTAATCTCAAAGTAATTTTTCCAGCGATTGGTTTGCAATCTTCCAGCCAGCCTATAATAAATAAGCTCTGGTAATTTTCAGTTGGCAGAATTAAAAGTGAATTGCAACTTCAAAATATGTCTATAAAATCACAAAGAGTTCTTGCCCAGGGAACTTGTAGCGTCTGTGTCATTTGTTTAATAACTTATGAT